AATAGGCAGAATTGTGTGCTTCCTCTTCACCTTCCAAAACTCCATGATATGAGGGAGTCAAACATAGTTAGTTCAGAAGAAAAATATTTGCATGTATGTATATATGGTACACCTGGGAGACAGTTGACTCCCAATGTCTCATTCTCTCCCTTTTTTAAAAACACTGTTTTTTGTTTTGTTTTGTTTTTGCTTAGCACATTGCCAACCAAATAAAGACTACATATCCCAACTTCTCTTGCAGTCAGAAGTGACATAAATTTATTTCCCAGCATCTAGAAATGTTAGAGGAGACATTTGCAGGAGGGAGACTCCTCATAAGGGAAGGTGTGAGCTCTACTGACTTTCCTAGGCTTCCTTCTGCTAAAGGCCTGGAACATAGATATGATGGCGGAGCTCTAGCAGTCATTTTAGACCTTTAACTATCTTGTAGATGCAAGTCAGTTCTAGAATAGTGGAAGAGGAAATGAGGAGCTTGGATCCTTAAGGACACCCTGGGACTACCATACTGACCCTGAACTGCCAACTTTTAGATTTTTTTTCTATCTAAAAGTTAATGGATGAATGAATGAACTTCCTAGTTGCTTAAGTTATATTTGCTTTGTTTTATTCTGTTATGTGCATTCAGACTTAACTTTACACCTTGGAGGTGGAGGTAAGAGTGATTTAAACCTCCTGGGTCCCCAGTTTATAGGATGTGGGAGTCTGAAGTCCTCCACGCTTGTGCACTTGTTTCTGCCTTCCTTCTTAACTCTGCCCTCCTTTAATCATGAACGTCAGGCCCTCATTGGTGTCCACAAAAGTCCATTCAGGATCTGGGCACACTACCATTTCTCCTGCACGTAGCCAGCAAACTGACCCCCGCACCCCCCATCAAACCGTCCTGTTAGCACTGGTCTTTTTGCCAACTGCCTCGCAGCACTTCTCTCGTGGCTCTTTAGGCAGGAAGAACCCAGTGTCTCCCCCGTTTCTGCTTCCCCTTCTCTCTCTCCTTCCTCTACTTCTCATGTCCAAATTCGTCTGCCTGACTCATGAAAAGCTATTTGCACAGCTCCTTTCCCCAACCATCAGTACCCAGCAGACAAAGGAACTTCTACTTCAGAGACTTCACCCTCTTTAGAAGGTGGTTGTAGTTACAAATGACATAATTTTTCTGAGGTAGGTTTCTGGAAAATTGAATAAAAATGTCCTAAGACTTTTATTCTTAGTAGGTGTAAATGTACTCCCCCAAATCTCGAGCATCTCAAAATGCAGAAATGAGTGGGTATGGAACGGGTGGGGGTTGGGGAAGGAGACTTGGCTGCTCTGGTTACTTTGCAAGCTTTGGCATCTACTGCAGCAATAATAAGGCATGCAGGACCACTGGTTTATTTTCTGGTGCATGGTTCTTCCTTTGTAAGTAACCAGTGTACTTCTTAGGAGATGGGTTCCCAGGTTTTTACCAGTAACAGTACCCATGCTTGATGTCTTTTTTGAGCCTGTTCAGTAAGACCTCACCTTCCAAGCGTGAAAATCACTTCCACCTATTGAAAACCTATGATGTCATTTCTCTGGAGTTTTCTGGATTCTAACCTTGTATGCATGTGACTTCATTACTAAAACAAATCCATTTAAGTGTTCTGAGATAATATATTATGTGAAACATTAAAACCCAATGTCACTTGAGAAAGATAATATTAATTCATTGTTAGCTTTGACATTTTTAATTTCTTTTAAATTGACACATAGTAATTGTACACATTTATGGGGTACAGTGTGACATTTCTATACATATATACAATTTATAATGATGAGGTCAGAATAATTGGTGTGAATATCCCCTTGGACATTTCTCACTGTTGGTTTTAAATTTATCTAGCGTTTAACTTAGTTTTTTTTTTTTTCCACACATGATGTCTCTTTAATTTTCACAATTTTTCTATAATATTACATTATATACCCCATTTTATAGTTAAATCAACTGATATTCAGAAACCGAGAGTAGCTAGCCCTAGGCACACAGCGACTGTGGTAGAATCATGATGACAATGTATGTCGTCCTCTCCTAACCTTGGAATTCTTTCTTGTCGTGGACTAACTTACCATTTCCTTAGCAGAGGAAGGCTAGCCTAGAGCTGGCATCCTTGAGCCGGGAGAAGTGTGTCCATGAAGGGCCTGGGTTTGACAGGTTGGAATGGATTAGTGCAGAAGACAATCCTAAGAAGCCTCCAGAAGCAAGAAGAAGACAGCAGGAACTTAGGCATTAGAAAAAGGAGCAAGCCAAGACTCAGGGCACCTCTGTGACAGTGCCAGCTTTTACTGTTACCAGGTCTTTTTCTTTTCTTAATTTTTTTTTGTCTGATTAAGGAACTTGCTGTGAATGAGATGGTAGAGGCCAATGCAGGTCAAGAAGTAATCAGGAAGCGCATTCGGACTAAACAAGCCAAAACCGCAGGTGAACATTTAGGGACCATAAATCCTCAGCCTCCCACTGCAGAGAGAAAGGCTGCGGTCAGAATCTGAGCTCTGTGCGTGAAGTAACAAAGTGCTTCCAGGAAGAAATCTCATCCTCCAGAAAAGATTTTGAGAAAATCAAAATTGGAGCGGCTGACAGCAGGATTCCTCTGGGGACTCATACAGGGTCCGGCTGGTGGTTACAAAGCACAGGTGGGTGTAGGGCTTTTCAGCAGGCTGTTCAGAGATCCTAAGTTACTTGTATTCAGTATTCAATGAACAAAGGCAGCCCTGTCCAGCAGATGACATCAGCCAGCATGAGCACACCTGTGCAAATGGAAGGACCCCACTATGGTGACGGAGATGAGAGACCAAGATCCCATGTGCACATGCCTTGGTTTGGCTCTCAGTATCAGCTGGCAAAGTGACACCCCAAATTCTCTAAGGAAGCTTTGCCCAATACGAGTCACACTCCAGGCATGAGAAAGCACTTCCATTTATTGAAAACCTACTATGTATCAGGTGTTACCAAGACTCACCATTGAGAAGTAGATCATCTTATCTCCCTTTCCAACTGAGGAATCTCACTGCTGGGAGCAGTAAGGGACTGGTTCAATGCTGTACAGCTAAACCAGTGACATTCACTTAGCCAACCCAAAATCTGAGCATGACAGATTTTTTCAGGGCTCACCATCCTTGGAATAGTTGTAGGTGGGACTGATTGGCTCACATACACATGAAAAAGGGCACAAAATTGGTGAACAGCCTGCAGCAAGAAAATCCCCACACTTCAAGATTTCCCAGACCTGTACAGCTATACAACTAGACCAGGAGATACTCGGGAGGCCCAGAGCCTGTGCCAGATGCTCTTTTAGAAGCCCTTGGAAGATGCCTCACCAATCTCTGGCAGGACAAAGTAGACCATGCATTCCTAGAATTACACAGGGCACAGAGAAGATGTTTGGTAACTGCTGTCTCCTTAATGACAATACCATTTCTCCACGTAGTATTGCTTGATCTGCAATCACCATGAGTGCCTTCAAATTCTCTAGAAGCCTGGCCTGGGGCACAGGTTCATCACATTCCCACTGAGAAAATAGCCAGAGCTTCCATTTACTAAACACTTCTTCCCAGGCAGGCTGCTTTCTAAGTTGGATATATCATCTACCTGAGTCCTTCCAGCAACCCTATGAAGCAGGTATTTTATTTTACATAGGGATGTATCATATTCTATAAAGGGATATTATTATCCTTATAAAAGAGGAAACAGAAGGAAGACAGTTTATGTCACTGGTCTAATACGTGACTTGGAAATAAACAGGAGGTATGAGATGGCCTTCTGTCTTATTCACATGGCCCTTCTGTCTTATTCACTCTATTGTCCAGTCTCCCCAGGAAGCCTCTGGAAATTCTCCAAACTCCACTCCTGTGATGGTTGCCTTAAGCAGCAGCATCTTAGCCTCAGAGGAAGTCACAGTTTGTGGGAGACCAAGAACATTCAGATATCCATAGCATTCATTGGCCCAACCTATGCTGGGGGCATAATGACAGAAACACCCCAATGTGTGCCATCTGTGCTGCAGATTTGGGAATTTTAGCCTCATTGACATCTGTAAGACCAATGCCTTCCCCAGAAATCTTCAAGCCATAAAAATTGGTACTTCTAATACCCTGGAAAGGATACAATTCTAGAACTTTATCTGCTATTTAAAATGCTATTCTTTTTTTTAAAATGCTACCAATTTAATTAGCATTCATAGTATTTCAAATCTGTATTAAGTTTTCCTTCAACCCTAAGCAGGGAGAAAAAGAATTGCATGATTTCTCACACTTATCTAGACTGTAATACTTTGACCTTGTCCTCCAATCTTATGTGAGAATGGCATATGACTGCTGTATCCTATTTTAGAACAAAGTATTCAGATTATATGTCTTTTCTTTATCTCTGATCTTTCAAAGATTTTTTTTTCTCCCTGAAAAAAACAGTATTCAGTTCTCACCTTCAAAGCAGAAAATCAGGCTCTTAAAAATGAACAAATATCCACAGGTGGGAAATGTAAATGCACTTTGAAATTCTGGAGAAAAAGATGCATCCAGCACAATAAATATGAGTTGATGAATTCTGACACTTTTTTTCCTCACTCAATTTTAAATCCAGTCCTGCTGACTGGCTGCCCATCATTTTCTGCACACCAGATGAAAGACCTTGAGAAAATTTGATCCTTCAAGGAATAATCTTCAACTTCTTTAGAGGACAGTGACTACTTGATCAGAATATCCTTTAAAAACAAAAGAAGGAGCCCAGCCTCACCACATAAAGCCATTTAAAGCACAGCTAAGCTTCGGATATAACAAATTATAATTTCCACACTCTGTGGGCACTGCCGATCATAAATTGCTGAAGAGTTGTATGTTTGTTGTGTAGCATTTTTCATCTTCATGATTGGTTTTACTTTTGTTTTGTTTTGCAAGAATGAAAGGGGAAGGGCCTCCCAGCCAACTCAACAGAAGGACTCTGACAGGCTCAAGGCTCCTGTGGTTTAAGGTCACCCACTGCAGCTAGGGAGTACGGAAGTGCTGTTGCCTATACTGTGCAACTTCGGTTTTCCCTTTTCCTGCTGCATTCAGCTAAGAGGAACTGCAAACCAAGGACTCCTTTCAACTCTCCCCAGCCCCAGGTCCACGTGGCTTTCTCAGCCTCTTGAAATAGCAAGTTGGGGACCTGTGAGTGTTTGTGCATGCTTTTTGTTTGCATTACACTCTCTGAAAAGTGTATATGTGTATGTTGGGAGAGCAAAGTAGAGAGAACAAGAGGAGGAGAGAAAGACTGATTCTGCAGACTGAGCTTCAGCATCCACTAATCAGCAGCCTCTGCAGCCAAGTGGTCACTCAGAGTGCACAGCTTGGAGATGAACTCCCTCTGGAAAGCCCTCCTAGCAGCTCCACTGCTCCTTCTCCTGTCCCTTCACTCCTGGGCCTCTGCAGTGTCCTATATTGACCAGCACAGCACCAGTCACTCCAATGGCCACACCTGTGTAGGTATGTAAATACTTTTTATATTTTTTATGTGAACAAATCAATGGTTTATAATGCTTTTCTTGCAAATGTCTTTCTTGTTTAATGACATAATACATGTGAGATTCAAAATAAGACACTGAAAACCTCACAGACATAGACAAATATTGCGTCTAAGGATAAGCATTCACACTATATGCCTCTATGTGCAAAGAAGTGTGATAATATAGTTGCTGATTTGAATTAGTCATTAAAGTCTTCTGCTTTGTTTGTGGTTGGATTTTTTTTCTCTTGGTTACACAACTGTAATAGCCTGACATTCTTACTCTTTTTCATGCGCATTGACCTAAGACATCTGAGTTAGTTTTTCTGCCCACCTTCTCTTCTCCTTGCCTATTCCTTAATGACTGTGAAATCTTGAGTAAGTTACTTAACCCTCCCCATGCCTCTGTGTCTTTATCATTGAAACAGAGATAATAATACCTATATCATGGGGATTTGGGAATACTGTGAGATTTGAAATGTTCATGTAAAATTTTTATATTTGTACACATTAAAGACTCAACTATCTTAGCTTCCTTCAGTCTCTCAGGGAATCCAGACTTGGTGGTCAAATGAACACTTCAAATGAGATTAGCATCTGACTTTTTGATTCATTTTACTGAAGGTTTTATTTCTTAGTTTTTTTTAGAAAAAAAAATTTGTTTTGATTTGGGATTTTTGGTTTATTTTGTAGGAGAGTTGGAGGTAGGGTCAGACTTTTGATATATATATATTTTACCTGGGGCCTCCATAACAATGGTGGAAGTTTAGATGAAACAGTACATGGAGCCACCAAAGGTTCAGAACTGAGTAGTAGTTATTCAGTAAGCTAATATTAAAATAGAATCCTGAGACTGAGGATAGAGCTCAGTTGGTAGAGTAATTGCTTCACGTTCACAAGGACTTGGGTTCAATCCCCAGTACCACCACCAAAAAAAAAAAAAAAAAAAAAAAATATATATATATATATATATATATATATATATATATATATATATATATAATCTTGGCTTGAAAATTCAGAAAAAGAAGTCTGGGCATAAGTATGGTGGCCTTACTCTTGCTACAGATGGAAAATAGGGATGCAGATTCTGACACTCATGAATTCCCTCTGGAAACTGTATAGGAAAATAGCTGAATGAATCCTGCTTTTCCAAAACTCAAGATCTCTGATAATTATAGTTGTTAGGGAACACCTCTACTTCTAAAATCTTTAAATTAAAACCCAAAGATCCAAAATCCCTGGGAATCTATTTTCCACAAACCTAGAAGCAGACGTCTAAGGCCTCTTGGAACCACGCCTGGGAGATCATCCTCCCTCAGGATTTCTTCTTCTTAAGTCGTTATTTACTAACATTCTATTTGCTCTAAGTCAAACCTTAAAGCCTATCAAATGGAAATATTCTTGAAAAAGGCTCAAGTAAAATCAGTTCTACATCCAGGCTGGTTGCTAATTCAATCTTTGGATTTAGTCTAGTTATCTACCTGAGCTCCTCTGGTCTCCATTTTGGCAAAATGGACATGAAATACTTATTCCTTCCCGTACTTCATTCCTAATGAGGCCACAGAGTGTTGGCAGGAGGTGTTGAGGGCATTCCAGGATGGGTTGTTCTGCTCTTCTTCTGGTGCCTAACAAATTAAAATAATAACCATTTTGTTTATGTTTTTGTGAATCAGGAATTTGTTCGGAGTCTGGCTGGTGATTCTTATGCTCCATGCATGGGTGACCAAGGTGACTAGGTGGAATTCATATGGCAGATCCATGGGTTTGGGACTCCACAAAACAGCTTCATTTATATTTTGGCACCTTGGGGATGGGATATGGCTAGAAGGTTGGTTCATTGGGGAATGGACATCAGACTGCCTACCCATGGCAGTGCCACTGTAGCTCAAGGATCCCAGAGAAAGCATTGCAAAGGACAGGAACTAGAAGCCACCAGTCTCTCAAGGTTTGGATCTAGAAACTGGCATGTCTGCCATTCCATTTCTCCCACAACTCACAATTTCAGGCTAATTCTGCTTGGGTGACTTACTTTGGTGACTTTGGGTGATAAAGGTGGGTTGAGAGAAGTCCATTCAAGTGGTTAACATTTACTGAGTACTGACTATGCACTAAGCCAGGTTCTAAAAATAGTCCAAACTGGTGTCTCAGTGATTGAAGTTGGTTCCATGGGGAACTTCACTCAAATTTGTGTTCAGGGGAACTTTTCAAGGACTGTTCTTGGATGGAGAAGAAAGAGAGAGAGGCCTGACACACACCATAAAGTTCACTATTTTAAAGTTTAAAAATAAAGTAGTTTTTAGCATATTCATGTGTTGTGCATTGATTATCAAGATCTAATTCCAGAACATTTCATTGCCCCAAAACAATGCCAGTTATTACTTTCTCCACGTATCACTCAAATAAATCCTAAGCAGACTTTCTAAGACATATGAAAACTCCATATTAAACATTTTGAGGAGCTGACAAATTATTTTCTAGAGTAGTGGTACCAATTTACATTTTCCCAGCTATCTATGAATGTAGTAATTTCTTCATATTCATGATTAACCATCTTTTTTTGCTTAGAGCTATGCTAGTGGCTAGTGGAATAGGACCTCATTGTGATTTTGCTTTGTGCTTCCCAGATGATAATGATGTTGAACATCTTTTCGTATGCTTACAGGCAACTTGCATATTTTCTCTGAAGAAATGTCAACTTTTGTCCATTTTTTAATTGGGTTGTCTTTTTGTTATTGAATTGTGAGGTTCTTTATATATTCCAGGTATAAGTCCTTTATCAAGTATACAACTTGTAAATATTTCCTTCCGTTCTGCGAATTAACTCCTCTTTCATGATAAGAGCCTTTCAAGAACAAACTTTTATAATTTTGAAGATGTCCTATTTAGTTTTTTCTTCTCTTGTGCTTTTGATGTTATATCTAAGAATCATTTGTTTGTTTGTCTGTGGTGCTGGGGATTGAACCCAGGGCCTTGTGCATGTGAGGCAAGCATTCTACCAACTGAGCTATATCCCCAGCCCATAAGACTCATTTTTTAAATGGTGGTTGCTATTATTTTTTCCTCTTACATCCATTTTTTTTATCTTATTTCCCAGACATTGAATCCCTAACCACCATTTTGGCAAACAGGAGTGTAATACCTAGGCTTGCAAATAAGAAGAATCAAATGGGGTTTGGAAATGAAGCTCCATAGTAGAGTGTGTGTTTAGCATGCATGAGACCCTGGATTCCATCCCCATCACATAAAACATAAAAATAAACAAATAAAAGGAGAAAACTTTTTTACTGAGAATGTGAGAAAGAAAGTTTGAAGTCAAAAATAGTTAGACCTAAATATCAAGCCAGGAGCCAAAAAATGATGACTACCAAGAATCCAGGGAGTTCTTACTCCCAGACTATCAGCACTGGCTCCTCTCTGTCCTGCAGATGAGCTGTTTTTATTACTATCCACACTTTCATGCCAATTCATTCCCACAGTTCTGAGTTTGCATGTGATGGCACAGCCCTCACAGAGCCGGCCCACCTTCTCTTGTCAATTCTAACTTCCCAGCAGAGAGAATCTGGGAGAAGTGTTCATATCACTGAATAAGAGGTAGATGGGAGTGAGAAGAGCTCAAGGGACATATATGGCTTCTCAAAATGGGTTGAGAGGGTGTGACTGAAGAGATTCTCTAAAAGAACCACCACAAAAGTTACCAGGATATTGAGTCAACATCCCATGACAAATAACCAATCCCAGCTCCAGTCCCAGAGAAGATTTGCAGTGGGGAACCAACCAGCAAACCTGAGGACATGGTCTTGAATATATGCCAACATCAGAACTAAGCTTTGGAAATCCCAGTTCCCCAGTCTCCTCTTTTTATAAGCAACAAACTAGTCATCTCATTTGGTCACTAAACAAGTGCTGATTCAACAGTGCTTGGGCGGGTTTTGCCTTTCTGCCATTTTTCAAATGGAATGGAATCAATAAGGCAAGTTCACTTTTGTAAAGCATTACTTTCTTTACATGGATGATTTATGGGAAGTTAATCCTTATGGTTTCTCGGTTATTGGCATTTAAATTAATCCATCCAGTTTGGGATATTTTAAAATGCTTGGGAATTTTTTTAAAGGGTTAAAAACACACACACACCCCCCCACCCCGATTCCTTTTATGTTAAATATATAAAATGTCTTTACAGTCAGGTTATACCTCTCTCCAGCCACGTATCCCACACAGATTAGTCAGAAATGACTCTAGGGCTTGAGTGATAAAGAGAAAAAGGTGGTCTATAGTTTCAAGCACATGCAAGTGAAAAAAGACAGTGTCTCTGCTAAAAATAGGAAAGATTTAAACAGACCCAGCACAGAAGGGTGCAAATTTATGATCACAATTTAAATAGAAATTTTGCTTTCTCTATTTTCTGTAAGTGAACACTTGTTCATAAGACACTGTTTCTGTGATAGTAGAAAACATTTCATCTTGCCATTTATGTGTTTAAGTGTATTTTCATCTGGATAACTCAGGTTCTCTTCCTCCCCTCCTCTGAGGGTGGACCTCTCTCCTGAGACAGAGCAGAGCATCACCCTGACATTCACAGTTCTTGGTCTTTGGGGAGGGCTCTGTCCCCACCCCCTCAGCTCCTACAGTCATATATGAGGCATTATGGCTGCTGGACTCCTCTCAGTAGAGAAATCTGGATAGTCTCCTCCAACAGTGTTGACCGGTCCACTCACCTCCACCCTCGATGGCCTTATAGGTAGATCCTCGAGGTCCAGACAGATCACCTGATTGCCTGTCTGCAACCTCTACACTTGCCCTTCACTTTGACAGTTTCCTTACACACTCTCTTCTCTACAATCTTCTATGTTTACTTTTAAATTATCCTTGAATTTAACTCCAACCTTAGCACAAGTGGTACTTTCCCAATCATCTGAAGTTATCACACTCCATCTGCTTGGGTTTTTTTTCCTTGATTGTCTTGGGGCCAAAACCCTGA